ATGACTTTACCAGAGTGCTTCATTTGTTTTGATATTATTGCAAAAATGTTTGAATAGGGTATGTTGTAAGGAAGAAAAAAAAAGAAGATAGATCACGATTTTCTCCGCACTCTAAAATAGTGATAGCAATTAACTGTAAGATAGGAAGCCTATATATTGACAGGGCACGCGTCTCATTTAAACATAACAGATTTAATCATATGAGTCTTTTTTTCCTTTAGAATTTCCAGAAAGAAAAAAAAAACGTTTTTAATCGGTTTTTGAAAATATTTAATTCAGTTATTTTCTGAACATAATAAATTTAGCAGGCACGGCTTTATTGAGCGCGCGTAAATAGACTTAGGCTATAACAGCTTGGAATAGAGTTGTGAGTGATAAATTATAATATTTTTAATATTAAGTTAGCAGGACACTTAAAGGACAATTAATATTAAGGTTGATACTGTCAGAATGGCTATTAAATGAATAACATGTAGCCTAAAATGTGCATTAGCCTATATCGCCAATTATAGTAGCCTACTATTTTGTACCGCTCATTTGAGTTAGAATCTTGGAGAAGGCTATATGCTAGCCTAGCCTTCTAATAGCCTAACTTTTGTTAGTTAAATACTATTAAATAATAAACTTAACATAATAATAGTAGCTTAATAATAATCTTAAGAAATAATATTAGCTGTCTAACAACACCAATAGGATACAATTTATAGACTACATTTAGGCTATGTTTAGCGGGTTTAGAATATTCAGAATTGTTTTTGGGTATATAGCTATTCTACGACTGTTCGCATAAGAAAAGGAAGGTGTAGGCCTACATGTTCTGTTCCAGTTGAACCATTATTTACATTCGTCTTGACACGCTGACAGATTTATGTTTCCCTCCTATCGATTTGCGCAAAATGCTGGAAATCACTGCGTTGCTAAAAGCAAGACGCTGAGTCTGCAAACGCATGTCTCTCAGCGGAAAATATCAAGCCCGGACAGAACAAGTATCACTGCCAGTCCTCAGATAGCACGGATCCCAAAGAGGCCACCAGTGTGGATTTAATGGCAGTGAAAGTATTATGTGGAATCGGATTGAGGGAGAACTAGACATCTGTCAAAAGCAGCCAATAGAATGTACATTAGTAATACTGAACCAAGAAAGACGTCGGCAGATCGGGGAGGATTAAGTAGGCTACAATTCATAATCTGATCACGAAAAGTCTGCTGCTTGAAAGCATCCAGGCGGCCACAATGCATATGACAAAAGGGGCACAGATCAAGATGCCCTTCTGCGTTAGATTCACAATCCAGCCTAAATGTTACCACGGACTAGCCTATCAGACTGTCGCCTAGTTCCTTCAACCATTTTCTGTTCGGAAATTTCGCAGGCTAAAATTAACGTTAGTACTTTTCATGCATGCATAGTGCAATGCTCTTTTCAAAAGAACACTTTATTGAAAAATGTAAGTTTTGTATTATTCTCAACACTAATATTTTTTACAAACGAAAAACGTGTATTTATTAGTCTACTTATGTATTGTATTTATTGCACCAGAATATTAAATAAATAGCGACACTGAAACTAAAGTTGCCGTTGGAAATGATTTTCTTCCTACAGAACGTCCACAATGACCTCCTGATGCCATAGACCTCAAAGCAGACTAAATGTGTCAGACAATGGACACTATAAGCAGGATAGACAACAGACAGCAAAAAGGGACAGCTAATCTGATCTAAATATGACAGGGGCAGTGATGGGATGGGGTTGGGTGGGGGTGTAGGGGGGCTTAATTATGTTGTTGTTTTGCATTGCTGTTTTTTGTTGTTGTTGTTGTTAAAACCCTTTATATGAAAAAGAGGTCCATGAGAATAATAGAGATCATTATACATATTTATGTTTTGGGTTTTCATTCTGAAGTCAGTCAAATACCCCCCATGCACACACTCTATTATTAAAGATGCTATTGTTGCTCCTATTTTGACCAACAATGCATTCATTGTCATGTTTTGGACAATGTTATAAGCTACAAGGGCTTGCTTAGTTGGAGTTTTTTGTCATTGGGCATCTTTTGAACATGTTCTGAATGATCACAAACACTTAACAATTCAGTAATGTAAAGAAAACTGTTTTTGAAGCACCAGATTCCTGCTAGAGTTGTGACCAATAGCTCATAGAAACGTATGAAACACATGCTCGCTTACATTATATTTGTTTTCCTTTTTTCGTAAGAAATCATAATAAACCACTCACTATTTTGCATTACAGAATACCATCACTATTATCATTAGCATCTGAGATATGCGTTTTGCTTTTTAAATTTGAATGTGCCATTTGTCCAAACGTTCTTCATGTTCAGATCACAGCCGTGAGGAATTTATAGATTATGCTGTACATTTTTAAGCCGACGAGGACTCCACATGTGTACGCTTTAAGAGCTGCCTAATGTAAATACAAACGAGGCAAACATCTAAGACTCATATGAATACCATATATTAAACTGAGATGGATACTTTAGTAAACTAAAGAAGAGATCCAAAGCCTATTAAATCTAAGAGAAGTAGCCTTGAGTTTAGGTGAATGCATCTATATGATTGTTACTTGGGAATGGTCTGAAACATTGTTCAGTGACAGGAGACGTACCACGTAGGAACCATTTTCACTGTCAGCCTGTAATGTGACTGTCAGGCTTAGCATTGCTATCTCTCTATCTTAGAGTGTCTATATAATTTGATCCCCAAAGATGAAATACGGTAGATTCCTATGATTTCCATACTTGAAACACCTTGTATAAGAATCTTACATTTTCAACCCCTTCCTTTATGTGTCAAATTACAATGCAAATAGTGACAGTTTCTTAAAGCCGATAAGATGAATAGAAGATGCGTGTGACTGGGAAAGAGAGAAAAAATTGCAGTGGATTTGAACGTTGCTAACCTGAGAATGACCCCTGAGTCTGTTTTGTGTACAATATCCCCACACACACCTCTCAGAGCACTTGGTCTTCAGAGAACCTTACATGTGGTTACTTGCTTCCATCTATACAGAAAAGCATCTCACACAATGGGCCTTAACAAAATATGGTCATCACTGAATGATGCAGTCACACACACACACACACACACACACACAAACATCCAAAATATATTCAAAAATATTATTGTTGATAATAAAAAAGAAACTGAATGAGACATAGCACATTGAATTATATTGTGAAAGGGAGGACCTCTGTACAAATGTATAGAGTTTTTGACAACCAAACATTTTTTACCTCAGTATAAATAAAATAATACACTATTATAAACAAAAAGGAGACACTGCTTGATGACCAATTCATCTCAGGAAATTTGGATATCAATTATGTCTGACAAAGCAGACTTGATCGAACATGTCTCCTAAGTGTCAGAGAAAGGCTAATCCTTCTCCTCTGGATAATTAGTTGACTTGATGATTATTCATGCAGATTAATTGATTGCACTTGAGGCTGAGGATAAATAAATAACATTAGACTTTATAACTTATTGTTTAGTTGACTAAATGATTTGGGGCATGACTGTTTATACTTTTATGAAAGCTCTGTGTTAATTAGAGATTATGGCTCTCTGATTCTGCAATAGAGAGTTAAAACTTGTTATTAATCTTTATTAAATAGATGCATATACATAAACAGATACGTACAAATCTGCAATTCAAATATGCGTTAAATGGAAATGATCTCAAATGTAAATCTCAAAGTTCAACAAAGTTGTGCAGTTTCTTTTAAATTTAGTTCAAATGAGCTCATTCGAAAGTCAAAATATGAGAATAATTGTTTAAATATCTTTCAAGGATTAAGATGGGGTAGTTCTTACATGCATGTACACTCATAACTGTTGCAAAACATCTAACAGCAACTTATTTTTATGTTTATATTTTTTCATTGTGATGGACCATGTTCATATGTGATGGGTCTATTTGTATAGTTTTGTACATTTTCCGCACAATTTGGTTAAAAAGGATCATGCTACTTAGCATTTGGTGCCTTATCGATAAGGATTTAATGGCAAACCTGACAGTACTGTCATATATGAAAATACTGTATATAGTGTAAATAATGCCACAGCAACATGGAGGCCAAATATTTTCTGTAGTACGTTTTTACTTTTTCCTTATTTTGCGAACGGATGAAGCTTTTTGGCTTTTTACAAGTTATGGAAATAGTAGCTTATGTATCTGTTTATGTTCATTAAATTCAGATTTGCCAATAATTCAGACATTTTTGTCTTTTTTTCTTTCTAAATGAAATCACATGTAAACCCCTAAATACTGCAGAACACCAGTTCAAGCACACAAGTCTGCAGCCTTACTAACCTTTGATCCGGAGCCATTTTCCAAATGCAAGAGCCGTTCCTTTTTGTTACAACCATGAAACACCTGGCCAGTCCACAACAAACAACTTCCAAATGGCTGCTGACAGCATTAAGATGTCGTCAAAATATGTTTATGAGGGGAAAAGCAGTGCATGGCGATTTTGTATAAAGTTGTAGAATAGATAAGCCATTTCATTTCAAGAGTCTGTCCTCTAAAGCACAAATACAAATTATTCCAGTGTTCCTATAGCTGTTTTTCTCATAACATTTTATATGTTACTAATTTAGCTGTACCTCTGTAAATCAGTGCTAGAACAGGCTAATCATTGACTCAAGTTGACCAAAAGCCAGGATACTTGGCCCAGGTAAGTCATCGATTATTATTATTATTTGTATATGATGCCTAAATACCAGTAAATCTTTCTGCAATGTAGCATCTTTCTGAGGGGAAAAACCATATTTGATGAAGCATTTGAATTTAATTAATGACGTTCATGTACACTTTTGCATCTTTCATCCAAGTTTTAATACTACAATCCACCAAAATCAAAACAAAGGTAAACAATAAATGATCCAGAAAAAAAACCCGGTTAATATTAAAAAGCCTGATATCAATGGGAATGGTTTAGTGTTACTAAAATGACCTGCTCTTGGTTTCATTAAAGTTTCTCATGAACAGTAGTCATGAGTTTTTTGCTGCTGAGGCTCTATAATTTTCTATACACTACATGACACTTAATTTTACTGCATGTTCATCCATTTAAAAAATCTAATCACAATATAATATAGCAATTATTATTTTTAAAGTAAAACAAACAAGGTATACTGCATACATAACATCACAATAGTAGATTTTCTTTGGGGCATTTTGAAAATGCTGTCACGTGATGCTGCAAAAGACATTAAAGCAATGGTCAAACATCTCCTTGTTAAAACAATGAAAAGGTAGCGCAGAGGAATGCAAAAATGCACTGAATGGCCCTTAACTCTTTCTCTTAAACTGCTTCATGAGATTCATACATTCAAAACTGTGTTAAACATTAAAAATGCCTGTAAAAAAAGAAAGAAAAGTGCTTTACCTTGATCAGTGATCACAAGACTGCAATATTACTTTATTCTTGTCCTTGTTTTAATATGACTACTGGTTGTAATAATAGTGTCTGAACTGATTACAAGGTAGTTAGTCGATTCCTTTTGCTTTCAGTTCATCTTGTACTCGTTTCAGGTAGTCTGGATCTGGGTAACCATAGCTACAAAGAAGAAAACATAATTACGACCCTTATAATAGCTATTGCCAATTAAACGGTGCTAAAAATAAAAGGGCTTGTCTCAAAGAAGGCAACCACCCAAAAATTATGACAACACCCAAACTGTGTACTCACCAGGTTGACCCTCCATAACGAGACGTCTTATGGTGAATGTCATTCCAGGTTACCACATTGTTCTGTCCAGTAGTAGATGAGCGTCCAATGGTGAAAGTGAGTCGCTGGTCGAATGCCCTCTGCAGAAGCTTCAGTACCTTATTCCCCTCTGTTGAGTAAGGGAGGTAAGCTATGCGGGTCGCACCCTGGTACGGCATGCCTGGGTTTGGGTGTTCATCCTGCAGAGTAAGGTAATCGAAAACAACATTTCAACCGTGTAACTGATTGATATCATAACGAACAGCTTAATGCAGAAGAACGTCTAACACTTCATTGCATTTGTACTCACCCCCTGACATCCTCTTGGTATATGGTAGTTAATTATGATTGTACCATATCTTTCATATCCAGGTAGAGAGGACCTGTCTGATGAGACAGTCATGGTTCCTCCTTTTGGTTGCGTCCCTGTAAGATTGCCGTATATCTCTCCGCATATCGGACAAGTTGGCTTCACGTGGAAAGCTCTCTCCAAACAGTCTTTACAAAATCTATGTTTACATTTAGACAAGACTGTGCATTCAGATATCTTGAGTGTTTCCAAACAAATTGGACATGCCTCATCTTTGGCTTGGTCTATGGATTTCTGTTGTTTCACAGGTTGCTTGTAAGGTGTGTCTTTGACTTTTGTTTTATTTGGTGTTTGGTAGTGTGAATATGTCTGTGCACTCCCATTCAAAAATGTCTCAAATCTTTCAAGGCTAATGAAGTTGCCAGTCAGTTGCAATCGCTTTTCATCTTTATGAGTGATTAGAAGTTGTGGAAATGCTGCTTGGCAATGTGCAATAATTCCTTGACTGCAATCGTATGTCCTAGTTTGCAGCCCCGTTGCAATCTTTTGATACAATGTTATAAACTGTTCTCTTGCAAACTGATCGTGAACGCTCTTACCAGACGGCGACATAAAGGTCACATATCTATCATCTCGCTTCATGATAACTGCATTCCTTTTTTTAATTATGTCAAGTTCCTTGGATTTCATTTTTTCAATGTAATCCATAACAATGCCATCAACCTTAACTGGTTCAACTACTAAAGAGTTACTTTGAGCTGGTCTCTCCTCTTGTCTTAGATCTCTACTTCCATCACATGTTGTTGGCACAATTATACATCTCCTATACATATCTTCAGCCTCTGGAAACGACCCGCTGGCAACACCTTTCGCATCTTCATATTTGTGTTTCACAGTCTTGCTCTTGCTTGAAACTGAATTTGGCGGGTGTAGTCTCACTGCAGTGAATATCTGCAATGCATTTGAAAATAATAATCATAGTTGATCTATTAACGGGGTATCTGCGTTTGTTTTAAAATCAGGCCTTTTTTAAGAACTGACTGACGTCACGCTTACATCTAAAGACACTAATAAACAGTAACTTAGTAGTAGCAAGTGATTTAACTAACTAACTAACTGGAGTCCCGACATGAAATCCTTAAATGATAAATAATATCGTTGACAGGGTTTTAGCATGACTGTTAGCAAACTCACCTGTGGCAGGCTCATCTCTATCTCCACCGATGGCGTCGTTCAGTTGTCAGGGAAATCAAAACAACATCAAGCGGGAACAAAACGGGCCAAGACCTACCGTAACCGTCAAGAAGTTTGTTTCAGTAAAAAGGTAACGTTATACATTGTTTTCTGGAGAGTAGTACAAGTTGAAGCGCTTTTTGTTTGGTCCTATATATCATCACAGTGTCACTCAGAACACTGTTAACACTTTTTGAATGTAACTTACACACGGTGCAGTTTGTTTCACTTTTTCAAGCAGGAAGTCATCAGTATCGGGTTGCCAGGTCCTAGTAAAACCCAGCCCAAAGCCGCCTCAAAACCCGCCCAAAAGGAATAAAAACTAGCCTATTTGCCTTCGTCCAGAGTTAACAGATGCAGGTGTCAAAAACAATATTTCGCAGTTAGTGTTTAATATTATAAAGACACGGTTTTCAAATATTTAAAAAAATAAAGTAGGTAATTCTACCCACTTAACCAAAGTCCTTTAAAGGTATTCTATAGTCTTTGACTTAACATAATCTAAAAGATCAGTTAAGGTATACGAGTATCGTTATCGGCTACACTGGCCCATATCTGTATTGAAACGACAATATATCAGGCTAGATCAGTGGAGTAAACTGCACATGCTGCCAGGAATTTAAAATCAAAATCTGTAATGCCTGAATTCATCAAGCCCTAGAATTGGGCTAATATGTTAGTCTAGTACTAGTTGAATCCTGATTGTAATAATATCAAAAGTACAGTAGCCTACTTTGAATAAAGTAAAC